AACAAGTAGCCATCTGCTGGTCGCTACTGCTCTTGTTGTCTATGGCCTCCTTAGTTTCCGCCACCTCTTGCAGCTGCTTGATTTTCACATTACATTTTGTGAGGGTAAAACTAATTTATACAGTACTTCGTATTTAACTAGTACAATATTGTTTTTCAGAAGACAAATAAAAAATGGAACTCATTTGTTTTTCGCTGATCCTTTAGTTTTTGGTAAGGCACTGTGTCATATACATTCAAGAAAGAACATGTGGGGTGAATTATTGGTTTGTCTTTTGAATTTTATAAAAAGAAAAGTTGAGAAAAAAATGTACTCCTAAACAGAGAAGATTTTCTTAGTGCTCTACCTACTTTACATGTCTATAGCAGGTTTTTAGTGTCAGACAGAGCCTAAAACTTATTTGATCCCTGTTTGATATATGCAATAACTTAGTAAATGCATGATATATGTGTTTGCAATATAAATGTCTTTTTTTTCCACTTGATCATGGTTAAAATATATATTCTCACCTTAGTCTATCACTTTAACTAGTAAAAATTTGTGATTCAGTGTAAAAAACATGTGTGCGTAAAGATAGACGATTGGCAATTCTTCTAAGTATATGAATGAAGATTTGGAAACTTACTTGCGCAAGCTGACTTTCAAACTGCTCGGCCACCTCTTCTGCCATAGCCGGCCGGTGACTGCAAAGTACGATTACAGCCACCAGTAAGCTGAGCATCACCAATCCTCTGCATATTTTCGCCGTCTCCATCTTAATTTTCTCTTTCAAAGCTTGTGCTAAAATGAAGCAGCTACTACCCCCATCATTATATAACCTTTTCTCAGCTACTACCGAGTTCGGTCGGAAATACAATTTTAAAATAATTAAAATATAAATTTAATGAAATTGCCGACCTCGGTCGGTTTTATATAAATAGCTTTTAAATAAATAATATTTAATACTTAATTGACATATATATATATATATATATAAGATATAGTGCTATATTAAATCTCACGATTGGAGAATATAGTGTTTTAAAATAAGACGGACTAAAGTAATTGGATACAACGACTATATATAGCATGTTGGTTACAACGACTTTATCGATTAAACTCGATAATTTACACTTACTACATATGGCTAGCGTTGATGATTTACTCTCAACTGTTCATACTCAAATTTTTATTCTCGATCACCTTATTAGTACTTTGCTCGGATACTTCATCGGTGGATCAATTGAAAATTCAATTATGCTATGAATATCATATTAATGCTTTATATATATATATATATATATATATATATATATATATATAGTTCTATAACATATGTATACATATTAATGCTATATTAACATATTATAACATACTAATACTTAAGTTATTGTTGCTAAAACTTAAGTATTAATATGGCTTCTAATACATATATGTATATATACATACAAAGATAGGATATAATGTCCATATAAAATTAATTTAAAAAAACACATACCCGCACACACACACACACACACATTATATATATATATATATATATATATATATCAGTTAAGTATTAAATATAGTATTTTAAAATAAGATAGACTAAAGTAATTGGATACAACGACTATATCAATTAAAATATATAGCATGTTGGATACAACGACTTTATCGATTAAACTCGATAATTTACACTTACATACATATGACTAGCGTTGATGACTTACTCTCAACTGTTCATACTCGAATTTTTATTCTCGATCACCTTATTAGTACTTTGCTCGGATANAATATAGCTTTTAATACATATATGTATATATACATACAAAGATAGGATATAATGTCCATATAAACTTAATTTAAAAAAATACATACCCGCACACACACACACACACATTATATATATATATATATATATATTATTTATATATTATTTATATATTAATTAAGTATTAAATATTATTTATTTAAAATCTATTTATATAAATTAAATAAAACCGACCGAAGTTAGTCGATTTAATCATTAAATTAATATTTCAAAATTTTAAAATTGAAATACCGACCGGATTCGGTCGGTATTTGTGAGGTCAAACTATCAAACATTTATTTAACATTTTCGACCGAAATCGGTCGGAAATCAGTTGGAAATATGTTAATTAGACCACACCAGACGGGTTTCTTCCCATTTTCATCTTTTTCACTTTCTCTCTTCTATCTCTTATCCATCTCCCTTCCCCACCGATTTTTGGCCTAATCCCACCCAAAATCAAGTCACCCACCCCCAAACAACGAAGCCACACCTCTTCTCTCTCACGCCTAAACCCCCTGCCGGCGCTACCACTGTTCCGTCGCGCCTACACCACCACCATTGCTGCGCCGCCACCTCCACCTCCACCGCCACCACTACCATTTTTGACTCCTTCGCGGCACCACCACTGCCATTATTGTTAAAGGTTAGTAATCTATCTTATTAGCTTTTTAATTTTTATTTTTCGGAATATAATTTTATGTAATTTCTTAGGATTTATGTGACTAAATAGGGTTTTTTAACTACATTAGATTTAGATTTAGAATTGAACTACCTAAAATTACAATTGTTTTAGGGTTTTTTTTAACTACATTAGATTTAAAATTAAGGTATAAATTATGAACTACTTTAAATTATGAACTTTTGATTCTTAATAGAATTCAGAGGATATGGTTGGATGTTGTCGGTGGTCCTAATAAGGGGATAGCATACGGCCTTCCAGAGAGATCATTTTTGCGCTACATGGCTAGATTGTAAGGTATAGGGACTTCCGCCCAAGGCGAGGCAATTGATAGGTCGACTATCTCGTCTATGAAAAAGAAGATCGCAAAGCTAACAGCATAGCTTGAAGAGACAAAGGCTAGAGAACAAAAAAGAGATGAACAATTTGGTACCCTTCAAGTTCAGCTACAAAAGAGGGACGAACAATTTAATCTCCTTCAAGGTCAGCTGGCCAATCTTCTTGCTAGTGGTGTTTTCCCCATTCCCCGGTCTCGTGAGCCTTCCCCATATGCTAATCCTTCTCGTCGTGATCCTTCGAACCATGCCGACGATGAAGATTCTAATAGTGAAGATGAAGAAGATGCAATATAAAACACTTATTGAATGGTATATATTGCTAAACAAAGTCTTGAACTTGTGAATATTTAGTTGGAAATAATTTTGAATGATGATTATATTGTTGATATTATTTTGTTATTGAACATTTGTATAGTTGTTATTGTGGTTGGCGTTGTTGTTATTAGCATTGTTGTTGGTTAATTGTTGTAGTTGGTCAATTATTGTTATTGTTGTTAATTAATTGTTGTTGTTGGGTTTTCAAATTATGGTTGAATGGCAGCAAGTAATGCTGCCATTATAGGATGGATATTGGTTATAATTATCAAGTGGGGTAGCTTAAAAGCGAGCATATTCTGTCCAATTTTTACCCAGAAAACCGACCGAAGTCGGTCGGAAATCTCAATTTTTTCCCCATAAATTCAAATTTTCAAATGAAATATCCAGATTCTTGAAATTTCCGACCGAAATCGGTCGGAATTTTTGAATTTAAATTTATTTATTTTTAGTATATCGACTGATTTCGGTCAGTTTTTTACAAGTTACAAATAATTATAAATTATTATATATTTAAAATTCCGACCGATGTTAGTCGCTATTGGAAAAAAAATTTAATCAATACCGACCGAAATCGGTCGGTATATTTAGTCTGGTTGTCAGTCAATACGTTGAATATTGCGACCGTTTTTGGTTTTAAATTTGTGATCGATTTTGGTCGGAACACCTTAGCGACCATTATTTTTCCGTCTAATTAAAAGCGGTCAGAAATCAGTCGCTTTTCCTCAATTTTCGACCGAAGTCGGTCGGTTTTCCTGGACGAAATTACCCAGTTTTTTAGTAGTGGTACTTCATATCAAAAATCGTGAGAACATTCAATCATGTTACATCATCCACTGCTATTACTTTTAATTATATAAAATTTTACAGTGACAAAGGGAGATCAAAGATTTCAATGTGTTAGATTTAGGAATTTTGAATGAATAAACCCAAAAAATAAAATACTTGATCGATCTCGATGAGATTGATATTCCAACCTTTCTTCTTAGAACGTATTGATTTGACTCCATAAGCAGGAAGGGTATTTGCATCTATACTAGTTTTGGGGTCATAATTAGAGTTATACCTACTTTGCATAAAATTTTGTAAGCCTACTCACTTTAGGATCAACTATAGACTTAACGGGTTTGTTTGAAAAAAAAATTAGTCTGAAGTGTAATGGACTTAAGGCCAATTAAGATGCACTTTGCAAAAATTATACTTAAGATGCGTTTAAACCCAAATAGGTATGAAGTGCAACAAATATTTCCATGCACTTAATTATTAAACCATTGGACTCTTTGAAGTACAAATATACATTAAAATAGTTATTAAGAAATATAACATTATTATATATGGTATAAAGAGAGGAGCATGGGTTCACATGCCCCAGGCTCCAACATATAGATACGCCCCTGCAAACACAATATTAAGTTGATTAAAGATTTTAAACTAAGTGCAAATATAATAAAAATTGCAAGTTACCATAAGAATAGAAGTAAATAAAAATACAAGAAGCTATGATATGAAAAGTATACATTGAGAATAGGAATAAGGCTTAAAACAATTTGATGGAGTAGTAATTTTAAAAAAATCAAATCAAAAGAGGAAAAAGAAAAGGAAATAGAAATTCCACACAAAATTTACATTTCCAAAATCTCTCCCCTTCCCGCCAACGACCAAAGCCTGGAGATTCTTCTTCTTATTCTTTGGCGAAAATACCCCTATTTGTTCCCGAAACTCATCCCATTATCCGAAGCTAAAACCGTAAATATCCCCAAAAGAGTAACCGCGAGTGGCAGTCGTTGGTAACGAACTTAGCAAAGTCTCTTTTCTGTATAACAAACTATAAGCACAGCTCACATTCTTCATTTTCTCGATCAGTTTTCCTTTTTTCGCTCTCTGCAAAAAAAAAATGAAATTCACTGAGATGAAACTCCACGCCATGAATGCTGTGAAAGCGTACTTCAAAAGGAATTGGAAAAAAGAAGATATGATGAATTCTCAGGAAATTCCCCTGCACGCTTACAAATGCTTGAAGAAGGTACAAATTCCCCTTCTTTTTAATCACAAAACTTAAGAATTAGTGTTTCGATAAAAAAGTTGATTATGAAAAATGTTGTAATTCAATCAATTATAAATCGAGAGACTATGAAATCAATTTTTTCTTTATTGTTAATCTTGTTATTGAAAGCTAAATCCCAGTTCTTAAATTTTGATGGTTGATGATCAATTTCATCTCAGAAGATTCTAAAGTATTACCTAGCTAGATAGTCAGTTTGTTTTTAACAATTCAGTAAAGGCAACATGCTAGTTCGTATACTTGTTCTTACAGTTCAGTAAGAAATAAGGAATTTCGATTCTCAGAAGATTTTAAAGTATTGCCGTACTTTTTACTTTTATTAAATGATTCCGAGTTACATGTAACTTTTCTTTAGCATTTCGAATCAGTTGCTATTGAAGCCTCGCTCCCTATACAGCCTTGAAAGTTGTATATTGCACACTTTTACTTGATTTATATGAGAGTATTTGACTGATGTAAAATTAAGATAATCATTTTATTTATATATCATGATAGTGGAAGAAAATATCAATATAATAGTCTAAAAATTGAATTAGTTTAATGTATTTAAATTCTTGAAAGCTTGAAGATAGTATAGAAATTGAATGGTGTAAAGTATCTCCTAACATCCCCAAAATGAAAGAGTATCACATAAGTTGGGTCGGAGGGATTAATTTGTTTCATGCAATTTCAGATTTCAGCTTCATATGTTTGATCTTTTCTTTCTTTGTAAACTTAGTTAGCTGGAAAATATGTGTTTTTGCTTCTATGGAGTTAAATTCATGTGATTGATAAGCCTTTGATGTTAAATAGGTATATCTTACCCTATTCTGTGCCCTGTTGAGCTCTACTGTTGGATCTTTCTTGCATTTGATCTGGGAAGCGGGGGGCTTCTTCACTGTCCTAATTTCAGCTGCAAGTATACTCTGCCTTTACTTTACACCAGCAATGAAAGTGGTACGTGATCGATGACTTGTAGATTTTCTTTGAAATTGTTGAATTATTCCTGAAGTCGCTTCTTCTTATCCCACATAATCTACCTCTGCAGAAGAAGAGGGTCTTATTCTTGATGATTGCTGCCTATTCGTTAGGGGCTTCTTTTGGACTTTTTACCGAATATCACTTTGGAATTGATCAAGGGTAAGACTCAAAAGATGTTAAAACACTGTTCGGATTTCTGTTGTTGAATGTACTTTTTACTGCTATCTTGTCATTTCATATTACCTGGAACCTGATTTTTGTAGTTTACAGAGAGAGGCTTTCTGATAATTACTTGTGGTCCCGTTATCCTTAGTAACTATAATCTGTAGATATATATAGTCCACATCCTAAATGGAAAAAATGGTATGTTTATTAGCTGCATAAGAAACTAATGTTTTCCATTTTATTTGAATCTCCTAACTGTTGACTTCTCTCTCTGTGAAAATTCTGAAATATGGACTTGTGAGAATTCCCTACCTAAATGTGCTGCTCTCTTTAACAAGACGAGGGCATTGGACTAGACGAATTGAATTAAAACAGTCATTCTCCATAGTGTTCTATATTATTCTTACGCGCAATAAGATAAAAGTGGCTACTGTAATGGCTATCCTACATGAGTAGTTAGGCTTTGACAGTTCAGAATTCGCATAACGTTTACCTTATGAATGAGCATATGACCAGCACTGGGTATTAGAATGTTGGTTTTTTATTAGGTTATAAGCTATTGATTTGTACTTCTAAATTGATGAGTTGTAATTGAGATTCCCATACCCTGGAATTACCCTCTCTTTCATGGCACTATGGGACTGGATTAGAGTTAGCAAAATGCATCTCATAGCTATGTGCTTCTTTGGAAACCTGAGGCAGTTTTCAAGTTCTTGCATTTTCGGCCAGGCCAAATGTTATAGCACTTAGAGTTCCAGATTTTGCGCTACTGCATTTGGATATTATTTTACCCCTGATGTCTGTTCCAATATGGCAAATGCATTTGTATTGCTCTGTTAATTTCCTACATTGTATTGCATCTTGATGAATTCAATAGAAGTTACATACTGCTTCAGTATGACAGTATGACAGTATGTGTCTAAGATTAGCCTCTGTGTTCTTTATTCCATATTTAAATAATGTTTCTAATCTGTGAGAAATATCTAAGTTCAGAAAGCATTCATGCTTGTTCTGCAGCTTCGTTTTCAGCTTCTTGGGAGGTACAACAATAGGCTTTGGAACTTTTTGGTTTGGAGCCATGTTAACAAGACAAAGGATCGATCTCTACATCGGTTGCCTGCTTCATTCTTACGCCTTTATGTACCTGTGGTTTGTCACTGCTTCTGACATCTTTGGCGGCCACACAACCCGTTGGATGATAAAGGTAACCAGTCGTAGACTTCTCTCAGTTCCCATGCATGTTCCTTAGTTGTATATGAACAAGGACGGATTTATAGCGAGTTATGCAGGTTCAACTGAAATATTCATTGCTTTCGGCTTAAACTATGTATATACAAGTATACAAATACATAATTACATTCATATGGAACCTGCTCGCTGACACTAGTTCTAATTTCGCCTGTCTATGAATGAATAATATGACTGACTTGAACTGCTTGTGATAGGCATGCGCTGTGCTTGCGTTGGACTTGGGGTACTTTGTGATATATAGCCAAGAGATACTGTACAATGCTCGCTATGGAGATGTTAACTTTGTCAACTGCACATTCACCGTCTTCTTCCATTTACCAGCTATAGTGGTCCATGCTGCTAGAGTATATCTGGTTGCAGAAAGTGAGCACTACAGACAGAATTAAAGCTTTAACGATACAATAAAGCTACCATTTCGCCTTGGGAACTAACTATAGAATAAATAGTGAGTAGAATGCGCAGCTTAAAAGATGGGAAACTACAAATGATGTACAAATATTCCTCTAATTGTGACTACTACAGTTTACTGATTGAATTTGGAATTCGTTGTCTGAAGCGAAGTGCTTTGAATGTTTCTTGGCGGATACTGATTGTTGATTACCCCAGAGATATACTTTGCAATTAAGAAACTTTTGAATAGAATATAGATAATTGTTCTTCTTCTTTTCAGGACAGTGCAATAAAGACTATATGTCTTTTAAGTGATCAAACAATTACCTACTTAACTCAACAACAACAACAACCCAGTATAATCCCATTAGTGGGGTCTGGGAAGGGTAGTGTGTACGCAGACCTTACCCCTACCCTGGGGTAAAGAGGCTGTTTCCGATAGACCCTCGTCTCCCTCCCTCCAAGAACTCCTCACCTTGCTCTTGGGGTGACTCGAACTCACAACCTCTTGGTTGGAAGTGGAAGATGCTCACCACTAGAGCAACCCGAGCAAATTGAACTGTTACAGTTTCAAATTTAGAGGTCTCATTAGAACCATATGTGAAGAGTAAGCACTCAACTTTTACTTTATTACACCTAAGTCAATAAACTATTTTTCTAACAAAAATTAGTCACTCAACTTTATTTAAGTAGTACTAAAATCACAAAACTATTTTTGTACCAAAAGCCACTCAAATTTGCATAAGTATTATAGAACATATATCCTTTATTTTCTCCCAGTGACTTTACTAAGCAAATTTGAGTGACTTTTTGTTACAAAATAATAGGAGTAGTTTAATGACTTTAAGATAAAATTGAGTAACTTTTTCATTACAAAATTCATGCTAATTTAATAACTTTGATATGATAAAGTAAAAGTTAAGTGAATACTCATGAAATTATCTATGTGGGTTGTCCCAAAGTTTTGCCATTGGAAGCTAAAAATATGAAAAATATAGATAGAGAATAGGAAAGAGGTTTTAAACAATTTGACAACTTCGCCCATGCAAGTACTTAATTTAAAACTTTATTACCAAAAAATAAAAGAAATAAATGGAAATAGAAACTCCCAGCAAATCTTATACATCCTTCCCGCCAACGATCTGAACATGAAGATTCATTTTCTTTGCTTCTTTGACAAAAACCCCCCTACGATATTTCCAATAATCGGGTAATAACAGAAAGCTAAAACCGTAAATATTCCCAAAAAGAGTAATGGCAAGGGCAGTCGCTGATAACGAACTTAGGAACGAACTCTTTTCTGTATAACTTACTACAAACACAGCTCTCATTCCTCACTTTCCCATTCTGTTTCTCTGCAAAAATAAAATTAAAAATAAAATGAAGTTCTCTGAGATGAAACTCCATGCCATGAATGCTGTGAAAGCGTACTTCAAAAGGGACTGGGAAAGAAAAGACCTAACGAATCAAGGGGAAATTCCACTATACGCTTACAAATGCTTGAAGAAGGTACATTTATTCTGAAAGTTTCCTTTTTCTTTCTTTCGCTTGATCGAAAACGTGAATTTTTTTTCTTCTTTGAAGTTTTTGCGTGTTTGTCTCTGCTCTGATGTTTTTAGTCACTCGATAACTGTTTGGATAAAAATGTTGAATTACGAAAAGATGTTGTAATTCCAGAAATTTTGTCAAAGATTTTTCGTTATTATGATCTTGTTATTGGTAGCTGATAAGATGATGTGAAATCCCAAATGTTATATCTTCAGTATTGATGAATTTTGGTTTTCAGAAGATTTTCGATTATTGCGTGACAATAATTATTTTGTATACTTATCTCAGCGATGGCTAAATTGTTTTAGCGTTTGAGTTTTGTTGCTCCCTGTTCAGTTTTCGAAGTTGTTTTTGAGTTAAACTTCACCCTCTGCTGTTATTTGTATGAGAATATTTGGCTGATGCGAATTTAAGATATTATCATTATATGATAATGGAAGAAATATCAAAGTAATAGTTGGAATAGTTTGATAGAATAAAACATCACATTGAAGATTATAATTTGAATAGTTTAGCGGATTTGAATTCTTGAAAGCTTGAAGGTAGCATTAAAATTGAATGGTGTCAAATAGTTTTTTAACATCTCAAAATGAAAGAGTATCATATAAATTGGGGACGCGAGATCAATTGTTTCATATATGTCTCTGATCTTTGCTTTCTTTGTGAACCTAGTTAGCTTGGAAACATGCGTTTTCGCCTCTACATCGAAATATAGATTCCTCTACAGCCCCAGTTTGTCTTTTTTCCCTGTGATTGAATTTCTTTTGATGATAAAACAGGTGTATCTTACCCTATTCTGTGCCCTATTGAGCTCTACTGTTGGATCCTTCTTTCATTTAATCTGGAAAGCGGGGGGCTTCTTCACTGTCTTAACTTTTGCTATGAGTATTCTCTTCCTTTTCTCTACACCACCATTACTAGTGGTACGTGATGGCTTTATAGATTTAGTTAAGTATAAATTGGTGAATTGTTGTTAAAGTTGCTTCTTGTAATATCATATCTTCTACCTCTGCAGAGGCGGAGAGTGTTTTTCTTGATGGCTGCAGCATTTTGCTTTGGAGCTTCTGTTGGCCTTTTAACCGAATATCTCTTCGGCATTGATCAAGGGTAAAATATATCTTCAGATTTCAGTTGTTGAAGTTCTCTATTGTTGCTTTTTATCTTGTGACATCATATTATCAGGAGCTGACTTTTGCTGTCTTCAATTATATACAGACAGAGGCTTTATGTTTATTGGATGCTTGTGATTCCATATCTTAAAAATACTACTAATAATAATCAGTAGCATAAAACTATTTGGTTTCCATTTTGAATTTGAACTCCTAAATGTTGACTACTCTCTTTGTGGAAGTCCTGACAATAAGAATTTGTGAGATTTTCCTGCCTGAATGTGCTGCTCTCTTTTACAAGATAAGGGCATTAGAATTGGATGAATTGACATAAAGCATAGTGAGCAGTAATGGCTATTGTACATGACCAGTTAGGTTTTCATAAAACACAGTGAGAAGTAATGGCTATTGTACATGAGCAGTTAGGTTTGCACAGTTTAGAATTCATTTTATGCGTTAGTAGCTTAGTTTGTTATTAGGCTATAAATTATGGTGTTGTACTTTTAAATGGTCAATGTATAAGTTCTGAATTTATGACTTGTAAGATTCCCTACCTTGGAAGTGCTTTTCTCTTTCATGAAACTAGGGACTGGAGTTGATGTATTGACATAACCAAAATCAATATGTTTATCATTTAATTTGCACCAACTACCAATTTGCTTTGCTCTGTTAACTTCCTACAATATTTTGCCTCTTGCTGAATTCAATAGCAGTTATTACTCCGCTGCTTTAGTATTTGTATTTAGTAAGCCTTTTTTGTTCTCTGTTTCCAATTTGAAGAATGTTTCTAATCTAGCTGAGGAATATTTTTCGTTTTGCAGCTTTGTTTTCAGCTTTCTGACAGCAACAACAATAGGCTTTGGCACTTTCTGGTGGGGAGCCATGAACACACGGCAAAGGAGGCTGTATAACCGTTGCCTGCTTATCTCTGATATCCTAATTTTCATCTGGCTTCAAATTGCTTCTGCCTTCTTTGGCGGCCACACTGCTCGTTGGAAGCTTCTGGTAAGCCATCCTTTATCTCTATATGAACACATTATAAGGACATGTTTAGCGATTCAATTGAACTCAGTTACTGTCGTCTGCTCGGATTATGTATACATATTATCTTCTGAATTGCTTGTGATAGGTATGGGTTGTGCTTGGATGGTACATGGGGTACAATCTTGTATATAGCAAAGAGGTGGTATATGATGCTCGTTTTGGAGATATTGACCCTGTAAACCGCACATTCACCCACTTGTTCCGTTTACCAGCTATAATTGTCCATTTCACCCGGCTAAGCGTGCGTGCAGCAATTCAGCGCTACAAACAGAATTAAAGCTGCTGCTGCTGCTACTACTACTACTTCGGTTGGGAACTGTAGAAATAAATAGCGAATAGAATGCATTTTAACAGATGAGAAACTGTAAATGATGTACAAATATTCCTTTGTGACCACTGCATTTTTACTAATTGAATTTTGTGAATGGTAGCATGAAGCGAAGTGCTCTGAATATTTCTTTGCAAAATATGATTGTTGCTTACCCCATATAGTTCAGTCCATATACATATGTCCAAGTGACACCAGGCCTACCAAGTTTTTCTTTCATTACATTGGGCTCTTCAAATTTGAGAGAGGACAAACAAGTAACAACAATGGGTTGCCCCATAGCCCGTTTATCAACAAACTATTGAAGGTTTACTTTGTCAAATCCTTTGGATGGAAACGTTAACCAATTTGCCAAAGAGAAGGATAAGGGATAGTACTATTTCCTTTGTTTGGTTAGAAACCAGATGAGAAGAATAATATTTTTCCCGAAGTCAGAAATATATACCAATACCATAAATAGAATCTCCAACCTATCTTAAGTAAATGAGTTCTATTATATGAATCTTTTGTATCAATTTTTTAAAGTTTTCAGTGGATTCATCGTACGTAGTTATACGATTTGTAAATTAATCATCTAACTTATCACAACTCTCTCTTTATCAGGATTTGATACTAACTACGTTTTGTGAAACTCGCCTAGATGGAGTTATAGCCGTGCGAAGATTCTGACACCACTAACAGAAAAATGATAAAGGGAAACTCATAATTTTGTCAATATTTTTAATCAACTTGGGATCTAGAGATTGGCGGCTGAGCTATGCTATGCTTCAAGTCTCTAAATTCAAGAAAACTTGAAGATGAAGAGAGAATTCCATAGCATTTTTGTTTCCACCGTTGAAATTCCATAACTAGTGAGAACTGGCATGAAATGAATCCACTGTATAACAGAAAAATTATGAAGGAATATATATATATGCAAGGACGGATTTAGTGTGTTATGCAGGTTCAACTGAAAATGATAAAGAAATATATAATGGCGTTTCAGATTATATACTCCAAAAATATGTTGCATTTTGTTTAAGAACAAGGAGAGCACTACCATTTATAAGGGATCACCCAATAATATTAGTACAATCAAATTACTCTCACTTAGCTTGATATGCCCCTTTTACTTCTCAAAGCACTCCAGCGTTGGATGAAGCTAGAGAACGAACTCTTATGCTAACAAAATAAAAGAAAATTTAACCAGGTAATATTCTCGAATAAAGAAATAGCTACTAGTATGCTGAGCTAAATGTTATTGTTAATTTCATTCTGCCTTACTTTGGGAACCTAATGAAGAATAAGAGAATATTAACTGGTTATCAAAAAGAAGAGAAACGCATCGGCTAATTGAAATGAAAATTGTCTAGTCTTTACATGTGATAATAGTATCTTAGTTCCAACTCGATATTTCTGGTGTATCTGCCTTGTTTTCCCAAAAATTAAGCAATCTTCACAAATGTGAGAACAAGAGCTGCTTCATATGATTCTCATGTAGGATTTGTTAGGATCGAGAACTCGGGTAGTGCGGAATTTAGCCAAACAACGGTATAATGACAATAACAAAGACAATGGAAGTTGATAACAACGGCAATTAAAGAAGATAAAGAAGACACCAATTTAACGTGGTTCGGTCAGTGTGACCTACGTCCACAAGCGGAGAGGAGCAATTTCACTATAACAATAAGAGTATAAAAGAGAGTACAAAATTAGAGTAAACACTTTAATTAATCCCAAATACCCTAAGAGAATAACCTCACAAGATCACTCCAAAAAAAGGATTCACACAAGTGTTTCCCAATACTAACTCTCATACAAAACACTCTTAATAAAGGAAGAAAGGAAGAAATAAGAAATGAAGACTCAAGTCTTGTTGGTGTGTGTAAAATGAACTAATGGCCTTCCCTTTTATAGGCAAAAAAGTTTTGGCCTCTTAGGTGTAAAAGAAGATATACAACTTGTGCAAATGATGTCTACCGCAAAATAAAATATTTTTGGGTCCCAAAGAATATTGTCAACAAAGTCTACACTTTCCAAAGATATTTATGCTTATATGAGATGGAGTCCATTAGCCAAAATATTGGTCATATTACAGGATTCATAAAGGTGTCGCATTTCAAGGTTAATAAGTGTTCTCATGCATGACAAGTATTTGATGAGCATGAATAATATTTATAAGAATTATTCAGTTTATTATATCTTGATAATTTAAAGAACTTTTAGGTTATTAATCTAATCTATAGGAGCAAGTAATCACCTTATCTTTTAGATTATTAATCACCTTTTATGATTACTATCAATGCCAGACCTGCTTAATTGTTTGGATTTTACTTGTCAGTTGTTTGGATAGTCTTGCTTAGAAGCCCAAGTAGTAGAGCACGCCCGTGCAAAATATATACATTGGCCCAATATCTAGACAGACTGACAAAAAATAAATTTTGTTATGGACTCTCACCTTGGTCAAGAGTCGAGGTAACGTGTAAGGAAATGGATACTACTACAAACAGTAATATAGAGCTAGTTATTTCTCCTGGGAATAGTTAATTGTTCTTCCACTTAAGTTTTCCCTTCACTTTCTTGCCAAACGTTAAGTTGATTTAGAGCTAATTTGTGAAGAGGAAGCCCGAACATATTGTAAAAATAGCAAGGGCTAACTAGTTTTCGAATTGGTAATTCAAAAATAGCCAGCGTTTGCAAAGTTATTGAAAAATAGTCACTATTTTGTCGTAACACGGACCGGTCCAGCATAATATACTAGAGATTGGTGCACCTATGTATGAACTTCCATCATATTATGCTGGAGCGGTATATTATACTGGAACTCCAATATAATATGCTGGAATTCCAGTATATTATACTGGAACTTCAGTATATTATGCTGGAATATTTTCCAAATTTTGAACAGTGTTTTCGTTCAGATTTATCTTTACATGAAAAGTGGCTAAATTTCTATTACTTTTGAAACTGTGACTATTTTTTAATTATCACTTATAAATCTGATTATTTTTGAATTTCTCCCGAACATATTCCAAAGCATAAGTTGGCCCATTTACCTAATTCCCCGAGACTCAAAAATTGACCAATGCCAAGCCCATACAAAGGTACCGACTAATTACAGCTTGGAAAGTATTGGGAAAATGACATTGTATAGTCACTCTCAAAATGACATTATATATATATTATGTATGTTATATATAAAAATTATGCAAATTTTATACACTTTTTCAGCTACTGAATATAAATAGTTTCTAGCGCGGGGCTAGAAGTGATAATATCCCGAAAATATTCTCTCTCCTATATATCTCTATCTGTCTTTCCTTTTCTTTTTAATGGAAAAAGGCATAAGTTCCATAGCATTGATCTTATCATGACTTAGAAAGTTGGTTTGGTCCCTAAATCCTAACTTTGCCATGAAGCTTCATATTTCAATCAGTTAAAGGTCAAAGGTGTTTGGCCCCTTGGCATGGATGCTAATGCTATCCCCCATTTCCTTTTCATGAGTGTGTGTGTGTGTGTGTTGTTACCTAAAAAGTTGAATTCCTTTTCTTTTGATGCATGCTAACACATTCTTTGGGGGACCTCTTCTTTTACCAAATAATAAAAACCTGCCCATGATGCACACAAATGCCAGATATATATACTTTTTGTTTCAAACTTTTTTTTCTTTTAGAAAAAGAAGAGAATTACAAGTATTATCATATGTTTTCTCATTCCAATATGTACATACATATATGCATATAGTTTCTCAAGTTTGAGATGTTTAATTAATACGGTTCCGGTCCATATTATTTGTCTTTTAACATTTTGCACATCTTTTTGAGGAAGAGATTTAATAGTCTTAATCATAAGGATATTTAACTAATATACCATTTATCTCTCTTGAATCTCTCATTTAATTAACACTCCATTAATTAAAATCAAAGATAAATCTGTGAAAACGTAGTACATACATTTGATTTTTCTAAAAGGATTGTCCAATATTTTTTAAATAATTTAATTTGCCAAAACGAATAATATTTGGAACCTAAATGAGTACCTTAAAAGAAATAAGTGTATTTTTTGAATAATGCATGTAATTACGAAGTAGAAGAATAGAGATTTCTTGGTTCCTTCATACATTGAATTGGGTGTTTTGCTGATCTTTTTTGTTGTTTGGATTTACCAATTACCATGTGTTGTTTTCTTAGCCAGTAGTTTTTAACCATTGTATCAAATTATATTCTATTTTTCCCATACACAATGCTAGTGCTTTGTGTTGGATCCTGAACTCCATAATTGAAAAAAGCAAAGGTTAAATAATCTCCTTTGACCTCCCAAAATGCAAAGAACCACGCCAACCAAGAAGCTTGAGGCACCATCACCAATTCACCACTATGGCCACCTAAATGGGCAGCTCTTCTATCAACAATAAAATAAAATAAAATACATACAAAGAATATATAGCTTGCTTTTTCTTATTTTTCTTTTTNATATATATATATGCGCTCTCCGGGTAGGGGTGTTGAGTTGTGTACGTCTTACCCTTCCCTGACCCCACTTGTGAGAATCCACTAGATTTGTTGTTGTTGTTGAGCGGGCGACTATCTAAGTTAATTTCTTTTATTTTTCTTTTCCCCTCAAATGAAATATCATGTAAAAAAAATTTAATCTATGATATCAGATTTCGATGAAAATAACTCCCTCTATCAAATCAAATATAAGTGATAATCTTTCTTGGTTTAGGGAAGGATGATCTCCATTCAAAGTGCAGTCGAGCCAAAATATTAAATTATTATTTTATTTGTCTTAAATTTTGATGAACATATAATTCAATAGATATACCGAAAGAGGGTAGCATATACTTCTTGAAGTAGTCGAGTTATGCTTAATTGATTGATCTGAACACTATTGTCATAAATAAAGAAACTTGTATACGGTCAAAATCGAGCTTGGCCTTCGTATGACTAATCGAGACTGGAACATAATAG